ACGCGTGATGGTGAGCTTGAGCGCAACTCTGGTCATGGCGCCGTGCATTAACTTTCCCTTGTTGAAGAAGGGTTGCAGTTGACGGATTATTTCTACTTTCGTGGCAATGGAGAGCTCTCGAGGTGTGCGTGCGGGTTGATCTCCATTGCGGTAATTTTGAAAATGTTTTATTTTGAGTAAATGTGTACTTTTATTTGACTGGTTGTTACGCGATGTCGATTTCGAGCGCCATAACGACGTCGAAGGAGAAATCCTCAAAATCGTCAAGCCTAGGAAGCTTCCATTGCGGCTAGTTGGTGTGAGCACGGGGGTTGAAAAAGGGGAATGAGTGAATCAACGGGGATTGTTTTTGTTTTATACCTTAGTTGTATTGGTTGGTTGGTGCAATTGCTTGTGATGCCTGCTCAAACCCAGGGACTTTTTACTGAGGTCTTAGTGTGCACAGGACTATTTTTTCCTTTTTCCGGATTGATATTTTGTAGGCGAACGAGATTTGGCTTCCACCTCCACACATGCACTTAAAACTTTTAAATCTACTTCTGGGGGCAATACTGAAGAAGTGTTCCATCCTCGCCCCCAACATCGAAGACATTGCCGCATGAACTGCAATGCTCTTTCGATGCCTCCTTGGCCTGCAACGGAGTACATATTAGCAGATTCTATCGTGAAGGGCGGAAACATCCTGACGGTCGAGGCATATATGCTGATGTTCCCCGTTGAGTTCTCAACACATTTTGACAATGTCGTGGTATCCCAAACATTATGCTTGAAGGGCGGTGCAGATATCATGCTACTTCGGAAACTTTGTCCTAACCACGGACAATGCAATGGAACTCGCCAAATTGTGACGGCACTGATGCCAACATCATCCCAGCCAAAATAATGGCAGGCGGGGTAGTAAAGAAGATTATGATATAGAGGTGGTCGGCATTTGTAGGGGTTCACAATACCTGCAACTTGTCAATTTCAGCCAAGAGTTTTGTAGTTTCGTGCTGTAGTGTGTCAATCACGGCAGGCTGATGCATGATTTGTCAGTATGTCCCCCATTCAAATGAGTTGTCTCGTGGTGACGAGGATATTGGGACTCGTGTGACCGCGCATGGACGACCGTCTTATGTTTGATGCGGAAGCATAACACAACTCTTCCCATAGGCTATTGAAGCCTTCATCCAGGACGGTGTGCAGGTTGACAAATGCGACTGGGTTCACTCCGTCAGGGAGACCCTGCTGCGCAGGGATCGACAAGATGCGGTGCATGTCGACTTTAAATTAGACTACAGGGGGGTCATCGTTGCTGCGTCGAAATTTGCCACTTGCTGTTGGGATTGGAAAATTCCCAAGTACCACGAAGTCGTAGAGAGCATATCGCATCTGCGTCTCAGAGGTACTGACTTTCAACAGCAAAATGTACTGAATCCCGGCATAATTGCATCATCATTCGGCATTTCTTGTCAGGGCGGCCCAAGATTGTATTCTGCCTACGTCAATTGACAGTGTCACCCAATCCACAATGGCACGAGGTGAAGGTGGCGCACGATTGTTGGGTGTAGATCCCATCGGCCCAAAAGTCGCATCGGCCTCCTTCCTCGGGAGCGCAGCACTTTTTGCTGTCATCCGTCGAGCCTCCTTTGGCAATTTCGTGTAGAGAAATTTGAACTCGAGATAGCCAGCAATGACTAAGAAAGTTTGAATAATTGTCCGGCGTAATTGGCGCAATAAATCGTAGTGAAAAATTGACTTAACCATCGATAACCCAAGTTGTCCATGTCAAAAGTTTTCCTACGATTTAAAAAAAATTGGTGCCAAACATTGAATACATGCCCGATTTAATCGCGATAAATCACAACATGATTGCGCTGAAGACTCCATTGCTTCGTTGTGTGCTATGGTGGCGAATACAAGTGATGAACGATATATATATAATCCTGGAAAGAAGCACCACTCATATGAATTGCGAGATTTCGGGGTTTTGGGGTTTCTTGTTGTTACAAGCCACATTGATGGGCTGACCCTTGGAAAATTGCAAAAAATTAGGGCCTCAGTAAAGCAACCGTTCAGTGGATAGTTAAAGGCCGCAAAAACCATAGAACATCTGCAACTCGACCCCGCTCTGGTCGCCCACGTGTTACTACAGAACACGAGGACCGAATTATTGTCCGCTCGGTTCAACAAATTCGACGTATAAGTGCCGCTTTTTGCGTGAAACGTTTCAAGGCATTCACAAAAACGTTGTTTCGAAATCTACAATACGCCGGCGTATTTAGAAAAGGAAACCCCGAAACCCTCGTCACAAGCTGTTTCTTTCAAAAGGGAAAAATGCGGTTGGCGTGTGCATTGAAGTACAAAATTTCACAATTGACGACTGAAAACGAGTTATTTGGACTGACGAGAGTCCATTTAACTTGACTGGATCGAATCGGCGTGTGTATGTTTGGCGCCGACCTGGGGAAGAGATTTCCGACGAGTGTCTTGTGCCCTCGTGCAAAAGTGGCCGCCAAAGTATTATGATGTGGGGAGCTATTGGCTTGATAAACACTGGTTCATTGGTGACATTGGAAGTAAAAATTAATTCGACCGTGTACCTTTTGGAAGAGCAATTAACCGAAAATTTTGTCCGGTTGGACCTGCTTATCAACGTTATCTTCCAACAAGACAAGGCTCCAATGTACACTGCCAAAAGGATCGACGCATTTCAATGAAAATGCTATTGAAAACAACTCCCCTCAAAGCTCTGACCTGACCCCCATCGAGCATGTATGAGAGTGAATTAAGTGGAGGATTCTTTCAAATCCTGGATTTGACCTGCTAACATTTTCGGTGTAAACGAAATACTTCATTTTTCGAATATCTTGCTCATCTCCCATAGAATGAATTACTTAACCAGATATACATCCATTTGATATACCAGAAGCTGAATCAGTTTCTGATTATAATGTTGAATATTCTAGAGCAAGTTGTACAGCATTTTATTCAATAGCGTCTATTTAACTCTATTTTTATTCAGATTTTCAGGGTTTCGGGTCGAGGGCGCCGTTGTGAACACCAAAGACAAGTAGACGTTTGTCGGGGCCTTGGGGACGAGTGGGCAACTCCGGGAGAAGACACGAACGAAGGAGGTGTGGATCCGAAGGGATGAATTCCGAAATAAGCCACTGGGACGGACGGAAAGCAACGCCCACCTTGTCTTCGAGTGAGATGGTGAATTCTTCAATCCAATCGGTCACGGTACTTCGATGTTCGACATAAAACAATCATTGCATTCAGAAATTTATGATTTCAAGAGGTAATAAAATTCTACACAAACAAAGCGACCAAGAACCGCACTCAAGAATGTTTAAGCAACCGATTTAAGAGGTTATAAGCACTCAGCGATGTAAAAAGGCATAGTTTTAACTGATACGGCATAGTTTTAACTGATGCGATAGATCGGGCTACAGCGTAAGCGTTTGACGCAATAGCGCAGTGGTGAACCACGTTGTGTGTCTTCAGTGTGCCGCAGGTTCTCCGGGTGTAGGGAGGGTGCGACGGCGATCCACTGCGACAAAGGAAACAACTTGAGTCCAAAGGGGTGAATTAGAAAATTAAACAAACTACGGGAGTGAAGCGACCCCTGATTCAAATTGTGATGGAGGACGCGCGCACCCAGATTGCATACTAAATGCAGCATTTTGGTTTTTCCGACCACGGTCAAATTGCCACCGCAGTCGGATAGACCGTTCGAAGTACAAAGCCTTATCCAGCATCATTTCCGAAGAAAGGCGACGTGGAGTAGGGCAGAAAGTAAGACCGAG